TGGCAATATTCCCGAGGAAAGGGATTTCCTATTCAGCTATGACACACCCTCTATTCATAGCATACCGGATAGGAAAAGATTAATCGGCTTGATAGATAATAGGTTTTCTGCCTAATATGCACTTCCCTGTGCAGCTTACCATCACAACGAGGACAGGGTGAGGTGAAATGGGGTGTAACGTCGCGTCCAAGATTATTGCACTTTTACAGCGACGTGCATGCACATGCATGTGTGTGTGGCTGCTTGTACTAGTCAGGACTGATGACGATTTATAGTGCTAGCCCAGAGATACCATGCCGCAGTTTAACATGAATACCCCACTCAGACACAGTATACTGACTCCGAGCCGACCAGTCCTTGTTTTAGCCCCTTAATGCCGAGCGCCAGACAGGGTAACAACAAGTACCGCCTTTTAACGTCTTTTGGTATGACGTGTCCGGGGATCGAACCCCGGACCTTCCGCTATCCAGGCGGACGCTCTACCATTAGACCACGGAGGCGGTACCAACGAGAACAAGCATGTCGGGGGTAAAGATAAATGCTGACAACGTATCTAAAGATCAAGTGGCGAACAAATACAGTTGGTCGTATATCTTTATGGGCTAGACGGATAGACGTCACACGTAATTTTTTAGTTCAGCCGGATTTGTCATACATTCTTTATTTTTTTGATTGAATTCGCTATTTTGTCTTATGTTATATTAAAGGGTTAGTGGAGTGGGTGAACTATTACAGAATGAAAACACGAGGAGCTTAAGCCATGAGCTTTCATAGCATTAAATCAGTAGAGCGATAATGCGTTGAACTCTCATATTGTTGAAGCACTCATGCTTTTAACTTCCGTCTTCCCTCCCACATCAAGTTAAACAAACGCCCTGATGTAATACTACCTCAAATACGTACGTCCTATATAGTAATATAATTAAAGCAATTGCTAAGAGGAGTTTATAACGTACTGTGATCACAGAATTAAAGCACTCTGCCATAACAGTTGTCCGAGTTGCGTCCCTTGAGCACATCAAGCTGACACGCCGTGATATGACTGAAATACTGTTCAAACCGGCGTTAAACCGCTCACTTATTAAGCTTTTATACACTTAATATCGATTATTGTTACAGTTTTTAATCGATAAAGCAGGTTATCATAGCCGTTAAATGGTGGTCATGTACTTGGAAACTGACTTGCTTTGTAATAGAATGAACGTGAAATATGCCAATATGACAGTACATTAATGCTCCTGTCAGCGTTGTCAATGACCTGGTTTAGTTTGAAGTACTTGAAGTAATTACATTGTGGACTGACACAAGGAGCTGGTTCATGTAACAGCCGATCTCGACGTGTGTGAGTTATTGTGTCACGAACAAATTACGTCGCATTCACTTCGACACAAACTGTAATGGTTTAATCATTAGGGTATGCCTTGTGTGTTCATGTCTACACGGCAGTTACATCACTCACGCTCTCGTTAGTCCGGGAACTGCCACTCGTGTTGCAAGCAGCGTGTGCTGTGTTGGCCGATACAGAGTGCAGTGTGTTAGGTGTATCAGGGCCTGAGCCTGTCTGGGAGTAGGGGGATTGCGATGTTATTGCAGTAGTTGCAGCACTACTGTCACAATATTGCGCTAGTATTCTGAGTCTATATTGCAAAAGTGATGTACTGGTATTCTGAGTCTATATTGCAAAAGTGATGTACTGGTATTCTGAGTCTATATTGCAAAAGTGATGTACTGGTATTCTGAGTCTATATTGCAAAAGTGATGTACTGGTATTCTGAGTCTATATTGCAAAAGTGATGTACTGGTATTCTGAGTCTATATTGCAAAAGTGATGTACTGGTATTCTGAGTCTATATTGCAAAAGTGATGTACTGGTATTCCGAGCCTATATTGCAAGAGCAGTGTACTGGTATTCTGAGTCTATATTGCAAAAGTGATGTACTGGTATTCCGAGCCTATATTGCAAGAGTGGTGTACTGGTATTCCGAGTCTATGCATCTACAGGGGTTTGATGTTCTTGACGTGGAGGGTGTTAGTTGCGATTGTGCTCCTTAAAATATGATTTCCTCTCAACCAAAAAATAAGCACTTGACTTGACAAGATGGTTGCCTATAATGTTTAAACAAAACTTTCATAAATCAATTTAATCTTGCATGTGACTTGATTACTGACACTAACCACACAGCAATGCCTTATGCAGCTACTTCCATTCCCATGAGATTCAGCCATATTAATATCTATGTGAAACGCTAGAGTAGAAGTTACTGCTACTGTTGTCATACTGATTGAAATGTATACTGAAAGGCAAAGTTATTGTGCAATAATCTTAAATGCCACGTTAAGCCCAATTTGCCCTCACCTCACCCCACCCCACCCCACCTCACCTCACCTCACCTCACCCCAACCCTCCTCACCCCACCCCACCTCACCCAAAACCTCCTCTCCTCACCCCAACCCACCCCACCCCACCTCACCTCACCTCACCTCACCTCACCTCACCTCACCTCACCTCAACCCAACCCAACCCAACCCACCACACCACACCACATTCTACAACACCCCAGCCCACCCCTACTCACCTCACCCCACCTCGCCCTTCCTCACCTCACCTCACCTCACCTATTCGACTTCCGAATTTATCAAAGGTTTCATCTGAACTGAGGGGCAAAAGTAAGTATACCGAGTTTCTTTTTGATGCAATTGAAAATTGAAAGAACTGTTAAATTTGATTATGTCTAATTTAACCATCACTCGTTCCGGCAACAGTTCGAAAACTAATCTGTGTAATTTGTGTAAAAACATATTGGTTCAATGAAGACTGGATACAAAAAATGAATTTACAACCATATGACCCCTACCATGTTTGAAATGTACATTTGTGCCAAAAAATGCAAAATTATTGATTTTCAAAGATAAATTGTCTCAGATTCCATCAGCAGCTGTCTATTATACGATTTTTTTCATGTTTTGAATCAAATTATATTCTAAAAACTAAAACAATGTTCAAGTTTTCTTTGACTGCGCACTAAGCGCCAGTATAGTTGGATATAACGTTTTGGATATAATTTTGCTGACCTGATGATTACATTTGAAAATCAATCATGTGTTAAAATCAACTGAGAGGTGTAGTTTCTTTTGCTACTCGGTTTTGTTGCAATGCTCTCAGCTACGTCCTTTGCCTGTGTTTTATAGTGCATGGATAAGGTTGGTGTAACGCCCTTGTATCTATAGACTAGTTACTTCTTTATATAACACAGCTACGTCCTTTGCCTGTGTTTGATAGTGCATGGATAAGACTGGTGTAACGCCCTTGTATCTATAGACTACTTACTTCTTTATATAACACAGCTACGTCCTTTGCCTGTGTTTGATAGTGCATGGATAAGACTGGTGTAACGCCCTTGTATCTATAGACTACTTACTTCTTTATATAACACAGCTACGTGATAAATCGCAAATAACAGTGAAGAACGAAGCGTGGTTTATTTTACGATAAAACATTGTTCTGTCATTACGTCATTTCTGGACATTTGAACATACGCTTGCAAGGTGGTGACGTCGGAAACTGGACGACGCTTTTTTGAGAGGGAAGTGTCTAGTGAGATGTTCCCCATAGTCCCATAGATGTTGCTGGGCAACGCAGATAAAGGAATGTCCGAACGATTGCATCTAAAAGTGGGAGAGATATAACAATTTCATTGGAGTATGACTCGTGTGACTTCATGGTTACACTGACAGCCTTATTACAACCAGCTATATTGCGTAATAAAATAATTCCTCAAAAAGAGCGGTGACATGAGCGTATGGATGCACAACTTGCTCTTCAGAAACATCTTACGCAACACATGTATTCAAATAATATCACCATTAGATGAGAAAGGTCTGTTAAGAACAACCTCTGTAAGTCAGTCACAATGGCAGCGCGTCGTAATACATTTACAATAAGTACAAGACGTCAAAATGGCCGACACGATAAACGTCACGGGAGAGATTTCGGGAGCTGCTGATGAACCCATGGCGGTTACATGTTTTAGTCATCATTGATCAATTGGCCGATCTTTGAAAATGTCATTAAAGATGTGTCGAATAGACACTAAGGTAAAGTCATAGATTGCTGTAGATTGTCACTGTCAGCCTGGACACGGATCGGGTCGACACTACGATAGTTTGGTTGTGTATTTCTTCGTTTTGTTCACTACGAATGGGTCATAGCGAGGATATTCGTGAACGACTGTGCAGTCAAACTCTGACGTTTCTCAATGTATACTAAAAGTTCAATATTAAAGGGTTTAAATGATGAGAAAGAACGCTTCTGTACGTGTACGTGCCAGGCGTTTCCCAAGGAATGTGGAAGAAGTCCGTCGGTGTTAACGTCATTTCAAGAACATGATCTCGTGAAAAACGTATGGACGTCAAATTGTGTCGTTCATACTCTTATTAACGTCAATTTCGCGGTCAGGTGACCAACCTCTCGTCCAATTGAAAAGCCGTATATCGTGTAAACTTCAAATTTAAAAAATATCATTATATAAATACGGGCAAATATTTTTTAATTGTGTTGAATCCTTAAGAAGGTTGTAAATAATGTTGAATAAAATGTTGTTTTAAAAATAAAGTTGCTTGGTTAGCCAATCAAATAACGTAATCACTTAGAATTTAAGTATGTAACTGTATGCACCCGTGTGCAATACACAGCAGATGAGGGGGAACGGGTGGCCGAGCCGTCTAACACGCCGCAATTTGATTGTGGGTTCGAATCCCGGTTCGCCTCTGTTTCTAGGTTTGTCAGCACCATACCCGTGCTCGTGGGTTTCACGAAAGTGGTAAACGTCTAAGACCTGCATCACTTCGGGTTTTCCTCCGAAATAAAGCTGACACGCCGCGATATAACTGGAATACTGTTAAAAGCGGCGTCAAATCCAACTCACTCACTAACCGCAAATGACAGAGTATTAAAGTGGCGCTTTTTACTATTTTGAACACATTGGTCCACAAATCTATAGAAACCCACACTTAACAACATGGCCTCGAACACCTCACAAAACGGGGACGACACGGGAGACGAGGGACCGAGTGGCACCACCACACCATATGAAGAAACAAAGATACACAACGTTGGTATGTATTTTGTGTTAAAGTTTGAGTAAATGGTATAACGTACCCCTTAATTGATGACGACCGCCTCCGTGGCCTAGTGGTTGAGCATCTGCTCGGAGTGCGGAAGGTCGGGGATTTGAAGGTCCCCGGTCGCGTCATACCAAAAGACGTTAAAAGATGGTACTTGTTGTTACCCTGCCTGAAATTTGGCATTAAGGGGCTATAAACAAGGACTGGTTGGCTCGGAGTCAGTATACTGTGTCTGAGTGGGGTATTCATGTTAAACTACGGCATGGTATCTCAGTGGGTTAGCACTATAACATCGGCATTAGTCCGGACTAGTACAAGCAGCCACACACACACATATCCGTGCATGCACGTCGCTATATAAGTGCAATGATCTTGAACGCGACGTTAAACCCCATTTCACCTCACTCTCCTTGATTGATCACTTTGCTACGATGACATATAAGTACGAAGTTTACATTTATCCCTACAAATGTCAGTATGTCAGCATCTCACATCAAAGGGGATACCTGGCGCAGTGAGTGAGTGACCGAGTGAGTATGGATTTACGCCACTTTTAGCAATGTTCCAGCAATATCACGGCAGTGGACACCGGAAAATTGGCTTCCACATTGTACCCATCATTCGTCACCACTCGCCTGTTTCCGTAACCTGAAAGAAGACTCCTTCCCCTATCGATGAATGCTATGTGCATAAATACGACAAACCAATCAGACTGGGCGTATGATTTCGAATTCTTCGTCAAAGAATCCCTCAGAAATATTTTTTGATTTTACGTATGTCTTGCATCTAAAAATATACCCAAGATACTGATAAATGTGTTCAATCATACTGTATAATTCCGCACGTCCCGATGTGCTTTAAATTGCATCTGAAATATATGTAATACATGGGGAAATAAATGTGAACCATTTGGCAACGAATTGACAATTGTCTTAGGTATGGCCGCTTGCGCTAAGACGGAACCCGGTCGCACAAATGGCCATGAGAGGGGCACGAGTCGCTATTCGGCTTGTCCCGGAATAACACGAGTTGGTCACGAATGTGTACCCATGTGGGGAATCGAACCTGGGTCTTTGGCGTGACGAGACAACGCTTTGACGACTAGGCTACCCCACAGCCCCCGAAGAGATGACCAGAGTGGTATCGTATGGTTACAAAGTGTTACATGGTTCATGGTCTGTGTGTTTGTGTATGTGCGTGCGTGCGTGCGTGCGTGCGTGCGTGCGTGTGTATGTGTGACATCTCGTATATGTCTGCTCTCTATGACAGATGTGACGGGTGTGGCAGAAGGGAGTGTCCGACATGCAGAGACGGTTGGTGTGGTGTATGGCGATCTTCATGGTATGTATTGCACATATCTTTTAAAAACGACAGTCCAACTTCCATTTAACTTACGTTTCTCGTTTTCTGTCTTATACATATATTATCGTCAAGTCTCTCAAGTTTCTTTTTGTGGTCACGAACCCATTCTTTCCTGTAGATTTTACCGCAGTGTTATTACATTTATATAACCGCAGTTTATTACAATTTACCGCAGTTTATTACAATATACTTCGTAAATAACCCTTACATACAAAACTAAATTTCAATTTAAACAAGAAAACCTTTAATGCGTTGCATCAACATGACGGCAAACTCTTTGTTCATCAAATTAAATTTACCAAAAATCACTTCCCCACATATTTAACAAGCGGTTGACTCCCGCTGTGAACGTCGAAAGCCTGAGAATGGCTGAATGAGATAGAAATGCGGATTTATCTTATTATCAATTAGGAAAGAAAATGGTAAGAGAAAAAAAATCTAAATGAATATTAGTTTGTAAATTCAAAATTAATTTAAAACAAATTACAATGAGAGAAAAAGTTATTCAGCACACGCATTTAGAAGAAACAAAATTCTCGTTCGAATGCAGTATTCGTTCACAAGTTCCACTTTTATTTGTTTCACTATTGTATATGCCTCATGCGGTTACCTCCCCTTCTGACACAATTAATGAATCTATGGGTTTGGTTAAAAATAAACAATTTACAACATAATTGGAATGTGTAAAACACTTATCCAAAAAATAAATTGTCACAGACAATTTAAGACAAAGTTAGACATGCGTGAATTTCCTATACAATTTACCCATAAACCCCCATGTCCCCACAGACTTTGAACAGAACTATTGCAAATAGACCAAATACAAGGCAACAAATACTATATAACACCCGCATCCCATAATGTTAAATGCTAATGCAGCGCATAAAACTTTATTTACAGTGAATGAGAGACGCACTATCACTGCCACACATGTGGACATTACAGAGACGTGCAGTGTCACAGTACAGGGGAACAAGGTGCAAAGCCGTGAAGACCAACACCGACAACGTACGTATTATACCACTAGAGTGAGCGAGTGAGTTGGGTTTAACGCCGCTTTTAACAGTATTCCAGTTATATCACGGCTTGTCAGCTTAATGTGGGAGGAAAGCCCGAAGTGATGCAGGTCTCAGACGTTTACCACTTCGGTGAAACCCACGAGCACGGGTATGGTGCTGACAAACCTAGAAACATAATCGGGGCGAACCGGGATTCGAACCCACAATCATAGGTTTCTGGCGTGCCCAAGGGACGCAACTCTGCACAGCGAATCGCGGCGCCTTAGACGACTTGGCCATCCGTGCCCCCCTATACCACTAGATAGCAGTCATGTGTTTCATATGCTTGTTATATAATGTACTTCTGGAAAAAAAAGTTTGAAATTTAAGATTGAATCCATTGCTAATCACCTATCAGCGCCACTCATCTGTTGGCTTCCCTTGCTAGTTTCTACCCTTTGTTATTTTCCACCTTTTGTTATCTTATTATTTTGTTGTCCTTACCTGTACATACATACATACATACATACATACATACATACATACATACATACATACATACATACATACATACATACATACATACATACATACATACATACATACATATGCTTCCTGCCTCATGGCATTCATTCACCTGATGAAGAAGTAAGCATATACTCCGAAACGTTGTGTTCCTCATAATAAAGAAGTTGACATCAATATATTCTCTCCCTTAAGAATAATATAGTTGTCAACAGGAACAAAATGAATACACCTCACCGAATGGTATAAATGAGATTATTTAATTTACACTCATCAATATAAAATTGATCACCATATGTTTAATAAACACCCCGTTCTTCACACTGGTAACATAATTTTTCATGAAGACAGCTTTCAATCAGCACAAGTAACAGAACATTGTTTCGGTTTTAATCTGTTTATTTAATACCTTCCTTAACATCTTGCATATATATTTCGACCTTTTTGTTACTTTCATAATATTTCAATGTAGTCCATTAAAACAAAGTGTTGTCCCTATTGTCAGAAGTAAACGGTCTGCTTTGATTACCCAAGTAATTCTGGTTATGTAAATGCAGCGGACCGATTGATTTCCGCTAAATGCGATCATTTACACTATGTGTAGATAAGTGTCTGCCTAAGCTGTCTAAGCTCTGACCTTTTGACGCAATATATTAAGCGCAAATTCCAGGAAAACTTGCAATGTTTAGGAACCGTTTGTGACGATATAATTTAAACATAGCATTATATGATAAAGAGGTTATAACTCTTGTGTGTTTTTGGATGACAAATATCCCATAGGAATAATCACAATGCATGCAATGTGTTCAACAAAGCTCGCCATCTGTTTATTCATGATACATGATACTGCCATTCAAAGAAACACTCGCGTGATAACATCATAGGGAATATCTGTTTTGACCCATGCAGAACCCAATTGCTCTAACCATTAAAGTGTTGCCTCAACTGGCACACTCTAAACCCAAAGTGGGGCCCATGTGTATATGCTGGTGGGGTTCATAATAAAATCCATATTTTTAGTTTATTTAGTCTATTTTAACTATGAAGTGTTATGTGATAAAGTATAAAATCATCTTTTACACATACATAATTCCATATTCATAATTTTTATGTTTGTTTTCCCCTCAGAACATGAAAGACAAGTTATTACAAAAGATGCTGATGTATTCGTTAAGACAACTGGATACCACCAAGCCAAAGAATGCCTGGACAACAAGCATGTGGTGGCCATCACTGGCTTCCCTGGTACAGGCAAAACAGCCTCGGCCTACCAGCTACTACGGGATTTGAAAGATCAGTATGACATTTTCATAGTTCAGAAGCCGAAAGAGGTGAATTTAAGAGAACAGCCTACAAGAGCGAGAATATATTTAGTGAATGACATATTTGGAGAGTCAGTGTTTTCAGTTCTGGCTTTGGAGAGATGGAAGAACCTACTCGCGTCGTTCTTCAAGAGTGGAGACAGAAAACTGTCAGATAAAGTCAAACTTATTGTTACTTCTAGAACTAGTATCTTCAATGAGGCTTTAACATATGTAGATTTTCAGTCTTTTTCAGCTGACACAACGGTCGATTTGTCTAGCCAAACACCGCTTTCAAAAGAAGAAAAACGTGAAATGGTTCACAATCATATGTCTCGTAGTCAAATCGAACTTCCTGACTCGACTGTTGACAGCATATGTGACATGTCTATACCCTATGGCTTCCCCCACACATGCTTCTTGTTCTTCAAACTGAAACAGTTCCATCATGAACCCATGAGCTTTTTCAGGGACCCACTTCCTTGTCTGAATAACTCACTGTCAGACTTGTGTCTCTCTGAGCCAAAGCTATATGCTTGCTTACTTCTTCTTCTCCTCAGTGACGATGAGGTTCACGTTGAACGTCTGTCCGACCAGGCTGACACTTTGGAAAGAGTGTTTCAAAAGGTTCAAGATGTGTCTATAGGTGACATTGAAAAGTGCTTCAGGGGCAGTTCCCCTCTCGATGGTCCTTTTATTAGAAAGGATGTTGATGTTGTCACATTCAGTCACCCCTCTATAAAAAATGCAGTTTCCTACCTAGTAGGAACCACAGACCCACAGTTCATCATTGACAATTGCTCATTTCAGTTTGTTTTTGACAGAGTAAGAATCCATGACCAGAAAGCAAAGGAGAGGAAGCGTGGAACTTTTGAGGACAGAAATATGTTTGAACTCTACCTTTCAAAAGAGTGGCATGAGTTTCTGGCTTGTCGTTTTGTTCAAGGGATTTTGAACACAGAATATCCATTAATATGTGCCCATCAGGCTCTAGCCCAGCGGATATTTGTCAAAAAGCTTTTAGAAAAAAGTGACTTGATGGATTGTTTCAAATGTGGAAGTCCTGACCAGCACTTTTCAAAGTCCATTCTTCACTGGTCTGTTTGGAACAAATCCGATTACCTCTGTAAGACCCTTCTGAAATCATTTTCCTTCAGTAATAGATGTCTCCTTGATGCCACCTCAGCATCTGTCCATTCTGGAAATTTCAAGGCATTCAAGCATTTGCTACAGTTAATACCTCGACCACACTTACTCAAACACTTCGCAGATCAATGGCAAGTCCAAATACAGACAGATAACTTAGATAAATTTAGTGAGACGCCCTTCACTAATGAATACCATGGTGATACAATGATCACGCTGGCGTGCAGGCTTGGTAGGAAGTACATGGTGAAGGTTCTCCTTGAACATGGCTTCTCTATACATGACAGAGATGCTTATGGCAACTCTCCATTGCACAAAGGATGCTCCGGCAACAATGTCCATCTTGTAGTGAGTCTCTTAGAACTTGGAGCCAAGCCAGACCACACCAACATGCATAGTCAGACTCCATTACATGTGGCTTCACAGCATGGACGATCTGTGTTTGTGAATTTGTTGTTGAAGTATTTGTCCAAGCATGCCAACATTGCAAAAACAGGCAAACAAGCCTATGTGAACTTAGCTGATGACGAAGAACACACTTCTTTAATGACAGCTTGTAAACATGGACATGTTGCAACGGTTCAGGCGTTGTTAGCTGTCGAAGCCGACATCAGTGCAACTGGCAAACACGGTGACTCCGCACTGATGATTTCTTGCAAACGGGGCCCTGTCAGAATCATTGAACTTCTCATTGAAAAGGGAGCGGATGTCAATGCAACAAATGCTATAGGAACTACTGCATTAATGGTGGCATGTGACTATGACAACGTAGAGGCAGCAGAGGTTTTGTTGAATATTGGGGCTGATGTCAATGTGCGAAATATCCATGGTAACACTGCACTATTGTTGGCATTAAGCAAAAGCAGTCAGCTACTCTGTGAACGTTTGATAAGACATGGCGCTGATGTACACGTCAAAGATTTCTTTAAAACGAGTTTCTTGATGCTGGCATGTTCAAAGGGATATGGGAACGTGGTTCAGCTAGCCATAGAACGAAATGCTGTGATAAATATTGATACCAATGGTCTCTTTCATCCGCTGTACATTTCTGTACAAAAATGTCGTGACGAAATAGTGAAAATTCTTCTATCAAACGGTGCTGACGCCAATGTGAGGGACAGCGAAGGGGTCACTCCCTTGCTGCTGGCTTGTGAGAAAGGTGATGGAAATATTGTCAAACTCCTGATTGATCACAATGCATGTGTTGATATATGTGATCCAAATGGTGTTTCACCTTTGATGTATGAATGCATGAACGCTCATGATGAAATAGTCCAATGTCTGTTGTCTCTTGGAGCCAAAGTCAATTCTTCAAATGATGAGGGAAACACGCCACTCATGCTGGCATCAGAAAGAGGCAGTTCTGGTATTGTAGAAATGTTGCTCTCTCATGGAGCAGAGGTTAATGCCACAAACACAAAAGGAAATTCTGCATTGATGTTAGCATGCAGTCAAAACAGGCACAACGTGGTTGAGATTCTCCTATCCAAAGGAGCTGATGTTGAACTGCAGAATGGAGATTTAGACAGCCCACTTACACTGGCATCTGGAAAGGGTTATTTAGAAATTGTGGAAATTCTTTCAAGACATGGAACTGTGCTCAACAGCAACAAGCCACTGATCGCAGCCTGTCTAGAAGGTCATGAACAAATTGTTGCGTTCTTATGCAGTCACCAAGCTGATGTCAATATGGGTGATCAGGAGAATTTCACAAGCTTGATGGCTTCTTGTGAATCGGGTAGTGTCAAATGTGTCGAAACGTTACTACAGTATGGTGCTAACATAAATGCTCAAGCTGATTCAGGTGATTCACCCTTGCATGTGGCAAGCATGCATGGAAGTGCTGGGGTCGTCAATGTGTTACTGAAAGACCGCACAATTCAGTATCTACACAACACTGAAGGCCAAACGCCATTGATGTTAGCATATCTTAAGGACCATCCAAATTCTGCTGAATCATTAATAGTTTGGCTCAAGGCCCAAAACCAGTTGACAGACTGTGAATTTCAGACGATTTTCAATTGGACTTGCACAAAAGGCTATGACAAACTACTGAGAGTTATTTTGTCAGACAATGTTAATTTGGACAATTTTATAATTGGAAAGAACAGTCTTGGCATTGGACCATTCAGTCTGGACAGCCTTGATATTGGAGGGTACAATCTTGACAATCTTGAACATGGAAGGGACAGTCTAGACGATCTTGACATTGCATTGTACATTCTTGACCATCCCGAAATTGTACAGAACAGTCTTGAACATTCGGAAAGTGAAATGTACAGTCCCTTGGAGTGGGCTATCAAACATGGTCATGTAAGAGTGGCCAAAGTGTGTCTGGAACATGGTGTTTCTGCATGCCCTACATCAGATCATGAGGACCCACTTCTGATTGCATGTAAACGTTTGGATGAAACACTGGCTGACCTGCTTCTCTATCACAATGCCAACGTGAATGTTCAAGACGGGGATGGTAATACACCACTGATGCTGGCATGCAAAAATGGTACCAAACATATGGTTGTAATGCTATTGGAATATGATGCTGAAGTAAACACACGTAATGTGGAGGGCAACACCCCATTACTGTTAGCCTGTCACAGGGATGATGACTGCAGCACTGGAATTTCAGAAATATTATTAGACTTGGGTGCACAGGTCAATGTTACAGACAACTCAGCCAACACTCCTTTGTTGGTGGCGTGTAGAAAAAGAGAAAATGATATTGATCACAATCTGTTGAAACAACCTGTGTATGACAAGAACACAGAGCGCAAGCAGGGTAGTGCTCACCTGATATCCATCCTGTTGAGACAGGATCATGTTAACGTTGATGTGAATGCTGTCAACAGGGATGGTGACAGTGCACTGCTTGCTGCGTGTCGAGGAGGAAATGTTCGAATAGTAAACCTTCTTTTGAAGCATGGAGCCAAAGTGGATGCATGTGACATCAACAAAAACACTCCATTGCACTTGGCGTGTGAGCGAGGCTTTGCAAATGTTGTGAAGATGCTTATGTCTCATAATGCTGATCCAAACGTCCTTAATGCTAAAGAAGAGACACCCTTGCTACTGGCAAGTAGAACTGGATATGTTAGAATAGCCCAGGACTTACTGGAAAACGGTGCTCAGACAAATGTGGCAGATGCGGACAATTATACCCCATTGTTATTTGCATGTCAAACTGGGGACAGTGCACTGGTTGAAATTCTGCTGAAATTTAAGGCTGATATAGAAGTGGTTGATGCTTGTGGCAAAACGCCATTGAATTTAGCATGTGGCGAGGGACATTTTCAAATAGTGAAGAAACTGTTGAAATACTCTCCAAAAGTAAATGTGACTGATGATTTTGGAAACACTCCTTTGTTGTATGCATGCATGAAAGAAGGTACAGGAATAGCTGCATTGTTATTGTCCCAGGGAGCAGATGCCAGGATGGCGGATGGATCTGGAGTCACCCCCTTGCTCTTGGCGTGTGATTACTCCGATGGTCAAACCATTAGACTGCTTCTAGAACACAACGCCCAAGTCGATGTTGGTCGAAGAACACCATTGATAGCAGCTTGTGAAAGGGAAGATCTCGAAATCCTTCAACTGCTGATAGATCATGGTGCAAATTTACAAAGAGCTGATGACAATGGTAACACAGCTCTGATGATAGCTTGTGAAAAGGACATGGGTATTGACGTGTTTGACATATTGCTGAGACATGGAGCCCATGTGAATTCAGCTGATGAGCACAACGAGACGCCCTTACACATAGCATGCAGTGGTGGAGATCCTCAGAAAATCAGCCGGCTGCTTGAAAAAGGTGCAATTGTCAACGCAATTGATGATTTCAGTAATACACCCTTGATCTTAGCTTGTCAGAAATCGGATGACCAAGCTGTTGGACTGCTAATTGATCACATGGCTGGTGTCAATGTTCAGGACAGCAAGGGAAGAACTCCTTTGATGCTTGCATGTGCTCGAGGAAATATACACATCGTTGACTTGCTGTTGAAACAAGGGTCTGACCCAAATACTGCAGACGAAGGAGGAATCACCCCTCTGATTGAGTCATGTTCAAAAGCGAACTGTCAGATTGTACAAAGTTTGCTGTCGCACAATGCTGATGTTAATCTCAGTCTAGGAAATACTGACATTACTCCCCTGAAAGTGGCACTGGCACACTCTCATGACTCAATTGTTGAGATCCTGTCACAGCACGGTACTGTATGTTAACAACGATGATACACATTGGGTGATGACAAGTGGAAATGGTCATAGAACAGAACACATCCCACAATTTTGGCGGCACTGGTCACAAACACATGCAAAGGCAAATCAAGTGTTCACTTGAACAACATCAGAAAATATATTACAAAATAAAATACGGAATTGCATCGGATAGTACTTGGATATGTCCTCCAAATGTCTAACATTAAACGTTTTGAAAGCTTTACTAAGGCCTTGAATAACCATGATCAAATAACTTTTGAGTTGACGTTCTTTGAAATCTTCGTAGAAAGAGCATGCTTCATTGTTCCTCAAACGTTATGAAATGAAGACATCTGGTCTGGCCGCTGCATCGATGTTTTCAGGATGCAATTGCCCTTGTATAAGGATATTTTACCACCGACTAAAGGATATATGCCCGCAACAGTGGTGCGCGACAGTATATTGTAAGCAGAATACGCTATGATATCTACAATATATGTAACATAAGCTTTGACGCAGAAACAAACTCGATGAACTCATCAGATAGTATATCAGCAAGGGACTTTGAGTTGGAAATGCTGACTTATGAATTGATACTTGGACGTAAAATAAACGTGTTTACTTCACTGCAAGGGATGGCCCAGTCGCTAAGGCGCAATTCGTTCGCTGTGCAGAGTTGCGTCCCTTGGGCACGCCAGAAACCTATGATTGTGGGTTCGAATCCCGGTTCGCCCCGATGATGTTTCTAGGTTTGTCAGCACCATACCCGTGCTCGTGGGTTTCATCGAAGTGGTAAACGTCTGAGACCTGCATCACTTCGGGCTTTCCTCCCACATTAAGCTGACACGCCGCGATATGACTGGAATACTGTTAAAAGAGGCGTTAAACCCAACTCACTCACTCACTCACTCACTCACTGCAATAAAGCAAAATATAATTTTGCTCGTATTTGCCCTCGTTATGATTACACCAGGACGGTATGTATACCCATAGATGTAGTAATCTGAATGATAATTTGTTTAGAGCTTAATTAATTGTCTGACATTATTTCTTGCTCTTGTGGTTCACCATGCGAAAATGTTTTTCACTATTGTCTCGAATGTACGAAATATACTTCAATAAGGCAACCTTTGTTTATTAACATTAGGAATAAAGAGCCTGAATCCAATTCAGCAACAATTCTATGTGGTAACAAATATCAATGTAAAGAACAAAATAATTCAGGTTTAAATACGTCCATCAATTAATGGTGGAGGGAAAATTATTATTCATGTTGCTTGTATATTCAATACATGTTGTTTAGAGTACAATAAATCTTTTTTGTATTCCTTCAGTATTAATTCTAGAAATTAATTTTGATTTAAATTTTGATTCCTTGTAAACGGCACTGTTCTCTAAGTCCGGCCCATTACTTAAATTTCAAATGTCCATCATACACATCATACACTGCTGTCATAATAAAGATCCATAAAATATCTTAATAAATGAACCATATATATGAAATATGTTTAAATAAATATGTATACCTTGTCAGTTGTAGCCTATGTCAAATGTCAAATGTTTATAACCTGGTGTTATTGTTATTGTTATTGTTATAAATGTTCTTTTCTGTAACCCTGTATATGAGGCAATGGCTTATCCTGCAATCACAATTGTTGCTTCTATTATTACATATATGTGACCGTGTATTTCTCCATGATGTTGTGTGGAAGCCGTCCAACTTTACTGTGCATGCAGTTATTATTTAATGTCAACTGGAACAATTTTAAAAATTGTCTTTTATGTTTTGTGGAGAAGATGTACTAGCGAACTGTTATCAGCTCTTTGTAAATAGTAATAAATAGAAACATTTTTGTCACTATCAAGTGTTGTTCATGCATACTCACAAGCACGCGAGTACACGAAAACATATGTATATGAACATGAAATATATCTGTTGTGAAAGATTATACATATGCTAATATATATTTTTGATAGATTAAAATAAACCATGTGGGACTAACTGACTGCCTGAACATTCACAACCGTCATGTGGCTGTGATATCAGGACCGGGCAAGTATGAACCACAGCATTGAAATGACACAGTGAAAAGGGCACGCTAACCTGCACTGGTATGTCAGGCTGTATATTCATGTATGACAGTTAACACCTCAGTGGAGGGCCTGTATCAACAGCCCAGGGTACCTGTGATATTATCTGTCACCTTGCATTCCTTCCCCAAGCAAGGTGTGGTATTGGGTTCCCATGCCTGCAGTGTTAGAAGTCCTTCCACTGTAATAGTGGCGGTGAGGTACCCCATTTGTCGAAGCCAATGTACCGTATTTCCCCTATTAGACGCCGGGCCTCTAACAGAAGCCGGGTCAATTGTTCAGTGCAAAAAATAGAAACCGGGCCTCTAATAGACGCCGGGTCGATCTGGGCCACCCGAGCCCACGCTTAACCAAAAGGGAATGTTGACCCCTGGAACGTTAAAATAAACACTTTTGTCGTACAGTTATGTCGATACTTCACGCTGAATCTTAATGCATAATGGGGCGATCGGGTAGCCTTGTGGTTAAATCATTCGCTCGTCACGCAAAAAACCCGGATTCGATCTACAACATGGGTACAATGTGTGAAGCCCACTTCTGGTGTCCCCCGTAGTGACATTGCTAGAATATTGCTAAAAGCGGCGTAAAACAATACTCACTCACTCACTCACTTAATGCATAAATCTAAATGTAACAAGTTGAGGGGATTTTATTCGTCTCTTTGTTTCTAGTGCAGGTAGGTAAATCAGTGTAAAGGAATTGGCTATTTGATTGTTATTGAACGATATCAGAAAATCGACATACCTGAAGCTGAAGCCCACTTCTTGGCCAAATTCCTGTGTTTTGATTTTGTCAGTACGAGCAAAAAGTTTAAATATGCATAAAAAAACAATCGGCAAGAAGGGGGCACCACTGGTGATGGGGATGCATGCATATGAAGTCCAGCATTTAACACTGGTGCCCATGGGGATGCTTGCATATGAAGTCCAGCATTTAACACTGGTGCCCATGGGGATGCATGCATATGAAGTCCAGCATTTAACACTGGTGCCCATGGGGATGCATGCATATGAAGTCCAGCATTTAACACTGGTGATGGGGATGCATGCATATGAAGTCCAGCATTTAACACTGGTGCCCATGGGGATGCTTGCATATGAAGTCAAGCATTTAACACTTGTGCCCATGGGGATGCTTGCATATGAAGTCCAGCATTTAACACTGGTGCCCATGGGGATGCTTGCATATGAAGTCCAGCATTTAACACTGGTGCCCATGGGGATGCATGCATATGAAGTCCAGCATTTAACACTGGTGCCCATGGGGATGCTTGCATATGAAGTCCAGCATTTAACACTGGTGCCCATGGGGATGCTTGCATATGAAGTCCAGCATTTAACACTGGTGCCCATGGGGATGCATGCATATGAAGTCCAGCATTTAACACTGGTGCCCATGGGGATGCTTGCATATGAAGTCCAGCATTTAACACTGGTGCCCATGGGGATGCATGCATATGAAGTCCAGCATTTAACACTGGTGTTCATGGGGATGCTTGCATATGAAGTCCAGCATTTAACACTGGTGCCCATGGGGATGCTTGCATATGAAGTCCAGCATTAAACACTGGTGCCCATGGGGATGCTTGCATATGAAGTCCAGCATTTAACATATTGTCATCTTCAGACGTCGTTTGCTTTCATTTCGACAAATGGTCCTGAATCTTTGAAGATAGTGATGTACAGTAAACTACGGTTATAACGAACTCAAAGGGACTACTCATTTTAGCTCGTTATAACCGTAGTTCGTTATAAGCATATATACAGCTTAACTACAGCAAATAGTCGGGACCAAAAAGTAGGTTCGTTATATCCGTCAGTTCGTTAAAAGCGTGTTCGTTTTAACCGTAGTTTACTGTAACTGTATTTATGGTCTCGATTGTAGTGCAAACATTCAAGTAAATCCTTTGACTTTTTGATAATCAACATGGTATAATTTTTATATCTCTCCAATACTTTCTGTGAACATGAGCAAGCCTTTCCTTGGTTGTATTAAGGATTATGGTTAATCTTTGAGACAGGGATTTGGTGGTATATTTACTGGATGTATCTCTCTTTGTGCGGGGGGCACGGGGGGCCCAGTCGTCTAAGGCGCCGCGACTCGCTGTGCAGAGTTGCGTCCCTTGGGCACGCCAGAAACCTATGATTGTGGGTTCGAGTCCCGGCTCGCCCCTATTATGTTTCTAGGTTTGTCAGCACCATACCCGTGCTCGTGGGTTTCATCGAAGTGGTAAACGTCTGAGACCTGCATCACTTCGGGCTTTCCTCCCACATTAAGCTGACACGCCGTGATATAACTGGAATACTGTTAAAAGCGGCGTTAAACCCAACTCACTCACTCACTCACTCACTCACTCACTCACTCACTCACTCACTCACTCACTCTCTTTGTGCGGATTTTTATGGAACTTTGGAATTCATTCCGAAAGAGGAATGGACACGTCTTCAGATTTTATTGTCAAGTCAAAAGTTGATAGTATTGATTTGTGGTTTGGGCAGATCACGCCTTTACAGTTAGGGAGTGAAAATGGTTTTACGCCGCTAAATATTCCAGTAATATCACGGCGGGGGACCCCAGAAATGGGCTTCACACATTGTACCCATGTCGGGAATCGAACCCGGGTCTTCGGCGTGACGAGCAAACGCTTAACCACTAGGCTACCCGACCGCCCCCCTTTACAAGTCTAACCAATTATTGTCAATATAATATTTACAAGCCTAAACAATTATATTGTAAATATGTCGGACAGGTGATTGGGTGGAAGGGTGGTCAAGTGTGTGGGTCTTTTACGTCCCATCTGTAATTTTCAGCTTCACAGCGAAGAGAATAATTTGAAGCTTTATTAACACATGAATTCAGTACGATTATCAATTTCTCGACTATCTGCCGATAAAAGGGCGTCAGATGCAAAAAAGTGATGAAAATCATATGAATGGATCACTGAAAATTAGTGATAACACCAGGTGTTCGCGAAAAGAATAATCGTGTCCTTTTACGGGTAGCCATCAGCCACAATTTTCATGAAAAAATATATTTGTTTTCTGAATCAGCACCCAGCAAAACTTCTGCCATGTGACAGCAATATTCCTGCCATACAAAGTAATTAATAACAGAAATAAGACACAGTTAATCACATTAGTTATCATTATATCAGGAGAGAGATGATGAAGATTATAGAACGCCAACGCCAGAGGGTAACCAGTCTCGATTGTCCGACGATACAGTTGTCAAATGCAAAATAGCTACCTGCCTGTACATTCATGGCTGTGATTTGAATATTTTTTTCTTTTTAAATGTAAGTATTATGTCCTCATATTAAATAAATACATGACCTAACAATTTCCACATAGGGCATTAAAGGCAAAAAGGGGTAAAAATCATATGAATGGATCACTTAAAATAAGTGATGTCACCAGGTGTTATGATTTGATATGATTTGATGTATGGTATATTGTTGCTTGTGCTGGAAACCCTCTCATTTGTGTAAAAATACCCAACAGACGGCACCCATGGGAGTAAATATATATTGAACACCCATAAAAAAATGTGAATAATATCATTTGAGTAATTACTCCACGTAACATTAGATACCTCTTACTGATACATTTGAAACCTCGCAAACGGCTCAAAATTAAGGTTGTTTTTTTCTACTTCTACAT